CACTGTTTGCACAATGTTTATTCACTGTTAACCACTGTTTCGCATGTGTTAAACACTGTTTAGGTACTTTTTATATACTGTATCAATTTTTTCCACTCCCGCCTCAGCCGGTGCAACGTGAGTGCTAGTCTATATCTCTGCTATAATTGACCACTCAAAATTACACTAGGTTAAAAAAAATCGATTTTCATTGAGAGCCTGCAATCATTGTGCATCTATAAAATTACACATAAGAATTCGTCTTCATTAAAATCAATGGCTAATAAAACACCTAACCCAAATCTGATGGCCACGTTTGGACGTGGGATGCTAGGCTTCTTATCCCACCTTCTCACCCACGCGCCCTCCTCACACGTCGCAACCGCGATTCAACGCTCGAAGCCAACCGCGATTCAACGCTCCAAGCCAATCACACGGCCTGCTCACAGAGGATCTCCCGGCCCGCGGCGCGCCGGCGAACCCGAAGCTCGCCGAGGCGTGGCGCGCCGCCGTCGATGCCTGGGTCGAGTGTGTCATAGTTGCACGTTGCGCCTCCGCGGCGGCGGAGCTGGAGGGAGCACGGCGGGCGTTCGAAAGGCGCCCTCACGCTCGCGATTTCGTCCAAATCCGACCCAGGTGAGCTCCGGTGCGGGTCCCGGCTGTGGAATTCCGCGCGGTGGGTGATCTCCGCCGATCTGGTTCGGGTGGTTGTGTGAGGTCGATTTCTGCTTGTGGTTTTCTACGTAGTTTTGCAGGGGTGAGGATTTTGCGGGTTTCATGTTGTATTTGCGAATGAGGGAGGAAGGCAGACCGGGTTCACCGGAGCCCTTAGTGTTTTAGCTGAGTCAAGCGTGGCTGCGGCGGCGGATCCAGGTGCGGCGTTGCAGGCGGAGCCCTGTGTGGTGGCGGCGGCGAGGTGCGTGCGTCGTTTCTGCCGTTATCATGAGGAAAGAGGCGAATGGCGCTTCTCAGGAAGGCGATTACTTAGAAATTGAGGTGAGTTCTCATGCACACACTTGATTTGAATGCACTAGCAAAATTAGAGTGCATTCGCATTGGTACAGTAGCCAATCAATTTGATTTGCACTTTTGAGTTGAATTGCAAACTTGCAATAGCCAATTTAGGCATGTGGGTATGAGCATACGCCTAATGAAGGAGTTCATCTGTGCCCAGGTGAAGGTTTGCAATGGGAAGCTTCTGCACATTGTTGCTTCAGTAAGGGTTTCTACTTGGCAGGGAAGCCACGCAACGTTAGCCACTCCCTGGTGGACCTACTGCAACAACTCAGCAATGCGTTTGCTAATGTTAGTAACCTTACATCTTAAATCTTCATTATCTTCTGTGCTTACCTCTCTTTACTTCATGTTTTTATCTGTCTACAAATTATATGACTAGTACAAGAATAGCTTATGAAACAAAAAAAAAAAAAAGACATGCAAAAAATGAGGGAAACAATTGAGTTACAACCTGCAGTTTAGGAATTTTGCCGAATGGATTTCGTGCAAAAACCTGCAGTCTGGTAAATTATATGATCTGTTGTTATTATGCATTTTTTATGAAAGGTTTTGTGGGTCACAATAAGGTTATAATAGTGAATATGCTTTGCCATTGTTTTTTATTTTATTGTATTGAATATTAAATTGAATGATGTAGTTCGAGAACTCTTGGCGAGAATAACCTTTTCTGCATACGCAGTTGGGGAATTTTGCCGTATGGATTCCGTGCAAACACATGGCTTATTCCCCTAATATATGTTGACTCCGCCACAAAGTGCCTAGCACTGCCTGTCGAGGATGAGAATTGGGGTGGAAATGGAGGCGGAGGTGGAGGCGGAGGTAGAGTACATGCCAGAGAAGGCCAATAAGAAGAAGGATGGAGGTCTGTCCAATAAGAAGAAGCTGGAGTGCAAGATGAAGATTGCAGAACTCAAATAGATATGCATCAGATCTGACATTGTAGAGGTGCACTCTCCATTCCAATCAAGTGACCCCGCTGTTAGCAATTTCATTTTTCTCATAAAGACCCACTATGTATAGGTCATCTATCTTCGTCATGGCGAAACATCAATCTCCACTTTCCAATTTCTTGATCTTGAAAAGATTTGCCTCTGCTTTCACAGCATCTGCAGCAGATGGTGACAGTACCCAAATCACCTTGGCTTTGAAAAAAGTGAGGGATAAATGCAAACTATCCTGCTGCCCTCACTGTGATTACAGAAATGGTAAGCTATCCTATACTGTCCGTAATCATTTTACCTTAGAAATGTTACTACTGAAACATGGCTATTGTTTGTTCCAAGAAATAAATTGGTAAGATAGGGTCTTCAAGTAAATGAATTGTTAAGAAAGTTCAAGTTCCACTTCAGATTATTTTTGTTTGTTTGCAGAAAGTTGAAGATCCACTTCAAAAAGACAATAGAGAGGGATGGATATAATAGAAGAATAAAATTTGTAATTGATGTTGCTGCTACTGATTTTTGTGTAGGTAAGTAGAAAAGCAGTGTATTTCCCATGGACTATGCAAATGTTCAAAAATTAACTCTCAGTGACTTCTCAACTTCTTTAAAAAATCTAGCAGTTCTAAAAATCTTGATAGCAACTCAGGTTCAACACTTTAATGGTCATTATTTTTTTAAACAAGTCGCGGTCACAATCTTGCTTTGCTAATATGTTATTGCGATTTGGTTAAATAAAACTGGATATATACTGAAATTCTAAAGCCAAATTATATACTCTATTGACTGCAGTTTGTTCTTGTTTGGCTATGTGTGCAGGAGATGTGGGCTTTGCAGAGAGGTTGCAAGGTGTTGTCAAAAGAAAATGACAAGCTTCAGGTAGCATCTATGGTTGGTTTTCCTTTTCAAATGTATGCGTTAGAGGATTAGGTTGCAGATCTGAATTTTCTGAGCTCATTGTCATTTGAGTATTCATAGAAAATGATTTTTTTTATCAATGGAGAACAATCATAGGCCACAACATGTTTTATGTTTCTCTAGACTAGATTATAGTTTTGATTTAATAGATGTTTTATAAGCATATTCTATCTAGAAATGTCAGGAAACTGAGGATAAGAAGTTGAAGATCGCATCAACTGCAACCTTATGTAGGTAAAGGGCAACCAAGAACTTTGATTCAGAAATAGAATATGGGAAAGTTCAATTGAAATTCGAGCAACTAATTTCTACATGTAGAAGGGAAGAAGAAAGGCTGTGGCCAGAAGAGAAAAGCAAAGCCATAGTACAATGACGTGAGTGTGGGCTTCATACATTATTCTATGTCTTTTGTAGTTTGTTATATATGTTGCTGTAGTTTTGGATCATCAGGTTTTATCATAGCTGTCCTACTAAATTACTACATGTTGTCTGCATTTCTTGATTCCACCGATAGTAAGCATCTGATGCTGCTCGATTTCACATATTTATGTGTAAATGATTGGCTTGCTAAAATGATGGCAGAATAAATGGTTTACATTGTACTTTACATTAGCTGATTTAAATATTTGAGAACATTTGTGATATGCCAACCTCTTGGAATAATTTAGGGAGGTAAATCAATCAGGAGACCAAGGACGTGCGCGATCTGGAGGAGTTGTTGAAGCATTTAGATAAGCACTACTCTTGGATGAGCTGTTGCCTGCAAGACATGATGACTATCATATGATGCTGAGCTATATAAATCCAGCTAAATATGCTCTGTAGATTTCTGAAATCAAGGAAATTTGATATCGACAAAGCAAAGCAAATGTGGATTGATATGCTTTAGTGGCGGAGGGAGTATGGCACTGATGTGACTGTGGAGATTAGTGGTGGACGGAGTATGGCACCGATATCAACAAAGAGAAGCAAATGCTTTTTTTCTTGTTTGGAATATATTGGGTTAATTTCTTGCATCTCCAGACTCTATACCAAATGTTTGTTGTTAATACTTGTAAAAAAATGCTCAGTGAATTGCCAGAATTCCTAGGTTGTTCTTGTACCAATCCTAAATACGGAGGCTATCTTAAGGCTGAAAAGGGACCATGACGTTAGTTTTATGATTTTTAGTTTTATTATGCTTTTATTTTAATTTTATGATTTACTTTTTTCTAGACGCTACTATACAACTCCGAGATCTACTTAAGCAAATCAAGTTGAGGCGAGATATGACTTATTATGCCTTGTTATGCTTTCTAAATTATATACATGGTCATATACAATTGCGTGTATAAAAAAAGTATCGTTATTTAATTGTTCCCGTATCTCTGAAATAAAGCCGTGGCGTTAGCACGAGCATTATACTAGTGATACTTTAGTCCTCGTGCTGTGAGCCTATGACGCTGGCATGTATAAATGCGTTTTCATAACTAAATTACTTGGTTCCCGTTCGTTTCTATTGAATTTTTATCCGTATTTATTTGTTTTTTATACATTTGTATATGTTGATTCTGTCTTGGTAGCCGGCTGTCTGAGCCCAATCTCATTTCCTATGGATAAATATAGAAATGGAAATGGAAAAGGTATTTTCCCCATTTCCGTCCATTTCCTTCGCTACTTATACTCCCTCCGTCCAGAGAAAAATGCAATTTTCACTTTTCAAGAAATCAAATGTTTACGAGTTTGGCTAAATTTATATGAAAAAATCCAAACATTTATGATACAAAATAAGTACTAATATGAAATGTATTTTTGTAATAAATCAATTTAGAGATATAAATATGAACTATTCAATATAAACTTGATCAAATTTGAACTATTTTAGCGGACACGAATACTAATTTGCATTTTGTTTTGGACTGAGGGGGTACCATTATTTTGTTACACAGATGCAAGGATTTGTTTGTCCAGCGAAGACATGCTATAAGTCACACTAGGTCGCTGGCCCACTGCACATACGGCCCAAAATAGTCTTTCAAAGTCAGCGGACACCAAAGCCCAAGAAAACGACAGGTCCACAGCCGCTGCGCCCAATTGCAACCAGAGACCCTCCCCGCGCCGGCGTCCGGCGATCGCCGGCATCGGAGCGATGGATCACACATCCACGTGATGGATCCGCCAGCGCCTTCTCCGAGGCCCCCTGCGGGCGATGGGGCACAGCCATCGGAGCGGAACCGGCAGCGACCAAGGTCTGCACTCCGTGGCGCCCTCGGGGTGGCCTTCCCCATCGCGGTATCGTTCCTCTTCTCCTTCCTCGTCGGGCTCGCTGGGCTCGCGCTTGGTGGTCTCTCGTCCACCGCATCGGTCTCCATGCCCTCCACCTGCCGCATCCTCTCCACCGGTCAGTCGCTGCTCCCTGCCCGATTTATTTCCGTAACTGCAGCTTGTAGATCTTAGTGTTTGGTTAAGGTTAGCGAAATTAATACCGCAGATTAGCTGTTATGTGATATGTTCCAAGAGCTTGCTGCAAATTTTAGCTTAATCGTCATTTTGATGTACATATTTTTTCTTAACATTCGTCCGGTTTACACAGTTCAGATGGTGTGAGCTTGCTATGTTAGCTAGTAAATTGCGTTGCACTAGGACTACTAGTGCTCTTCTATTAGACACTGAAGATTCCATTGGACCGCATCTAATATGCTTAATGCGATTGCTTGTACGTCCAATTGTTTGATGAAATTGTACTGCTACATATATACCATTTGTGCTTGATGCGTTTGCTGGTACATTGTAGGTGTTGACCTTAGGTCATCTAAAGTTTGCGAGCTTGGATTATTGAACTATAGAGCTAAGCATATCTTCTACCCGTCGAGTAAGAGAAGATTCCGCTGCCATGATGACTACTACTGGGCTTCAGTTTTACAGGTTACAATTTGTGCTGTAATTCACTTCCATGGTTACATCTCTAGGAGTTCTAAAAATGTTGTTAAAGCTGATGATTGGATAAAAATTTACATGTTAAATCCAATGTTAACTGGGTATAGTTATGACACCATTCTCACACTCATTTCCTCTAGATTTAGTCCGTATAATGCTGTTTTGGTTGACAAGGTTCAGAAGTTATGCATAGTTTCTAGTTTGTTTAAATAGGTTCACAGATATGCAAAGAAAGGCAAAAAGTTCTTTACATGCTGTTAACCACTCATACTTTCAGTTTTGTGCATCCTGTTAACCACCCATACTTCTTTTACTATTATGCTTTTAATATTCATGAAGCTTGCGATATGTGTTTATTTGACTCGTTATCATTTGTGTTGCGAATTGGATTGTAGGTTGAACACACAGAATATTTTTCTGGCCAAGTATCTTATGCAGTGGCAGAGGCCCCGAAAGAGGCTCTTCCCCATAATTGTCGACCTGATTTTGGTGCTGCATGGTCAACAACATTAAAGTTCAAGGTATTTTAGTATGAGTTATCTAGTTCCCTGTAAGTAGTATTTACTTTCTATGTCCTAACACACTATAAAAGTGCTCTAAGGTTTTCTCCTTTTTTATGCGAATCTTCAGTTATGCCACCACATTTTGCTTGAGTGATGTGTAGTCTTTAGTTGTCAACTGGCAGTTCAATTTCCACATTGCCATTTCATGATCTCCTTTATTTGTAGGTCAATGAATCGTACAGCTGCAGATATATGCTAGGTAGTAACAAGGCTGATATTCACTCGGAAAAGTTATTCAATTGTACTGCTGAGGAACCTTCAGCTACGGAGCTGCTCAAAAGGATACTTATACTGTGAGTATTATGCTTTCTCTCAAAATCCCGTGTCAGCTACTTGGGTACTGCAACATATGATAATGTTGAGCTAATTCAAAGATCAATTGATCAAGCTTAGATGGCTAGTATTGTATAATCTGTTTGCTAGTTTATTGCTGTAGTCTCTTCCAGATTATTTTTCTAATTTATTACATTATCAGATGGACAAAAGTCAAGTATGCTTGTAGTGCACTTTCACTGCGTATATTTTTAAGTGACTACCTCCAGTCGATAATTTGTGATGTTTGGACATCCCTTTTTTTGCCTATGGGCTAGTACAGTTCTCCAATCGGGAATGTCAAGACCAGAGGGAGTTCTAGCAACTTATTTATGTCCTTTCTAGGCCTATGCTAATTACTGGCACATCTGTACTTTTCAAAAATGGTTCCTTGTTCTCATTTAGCTGGATACCCCTTTTGTTTTCCATTCCCTTTTGGCTGACTTTACATCGAAATGTTACAGGTTTTCAGAGATGTATGTGTCAGAAGATTTCAGTTCAGAACGAATGCTTGGATATGTAGCAGCAGGTGTTGTGCTCGGCATGCTGAGTTCGATGTTCATTACAGTCTTATTTAGAGGTTTCTATGGATTGTTGCTTGCTGCTGCCAGGTGGGCTGTGAGGAAGCATAGCATCAGAGCATTTGCCAGTCGGTTGAAGCGTGCCTGCCTTCTTGTTGCCTATGTATCTGCTGTTGGTTGGATCACCTTGCAGTATAGCAAATTTATCGGATTGAAAGAACTTTTGTCGGATTCTGAACTCATGGAGAGGTTCTTTTAAACTGTAGATGTATTCGCCGGTGTATATTGTACTTGTAATACCATTCGGTTATTTAGAAAGGGTTTTTTCTTCTTTTTGATCTGAAATCTGTTGTACGAGTTTGTACTTGCCAACAGCAACACTGCTGCTCTGTCACAAACGTGTTTTTTCATGCCACATTTTATCAAGACGACTAATGTCACAGATGATGCATCTTTTTTCCTTGGAAAATATAAGGAACTGTATGTTGCAAACTGCTGAGAATGATTGCACTTGATCACCAATTCCATATAGACTGCTTGAGCTTTTGCCCTTTTCTGATCTGGCGGCGTTCCAAATTTGCTGCAACCGCACTTGCATCTCTTGTTCCAAACAACGTGTTTCATGGATCTGTTCATCAAGCAAAGCTAGATAAACATCGCAGTTAATCTGGCATTCAGCCGTTGTAACTGTAACCACAAACCAGCACTTTACTTCTATGTTCATTATAAATTTGAGCACGCACCGTGATTATGCATGGTTTCTATTCTAGTGAGGTGGAACGAACTGCACCGAAACCTCTCGGAGTGTCCTTTGATCCGAGGTGGGGAAATGGGGAATGCCTTCGGGGTGTCCTTTGGTCCGAGGGCGCGAATATCTGTTTGCTGCTACTGTTCATTCTTTTTCCGTCAGGCTAATTGTTACGACATGTCTAGAAACCTTTAGACAAGAGCGATTTCACTGAATTTTCTTTAGTGCCGAGAAAGAGCAATTTCACTGAATTTTCCTTAGCGCCGAGAAAGATTCCACCTAATCTCCATTTCGCAGCAGACCCGCTTCAGCTTGACCTTCTGTCCCTTCGTGAATGGAATTTGGTGTGCGTTCCAAACTTGTCGCACCTGCACGTGCTGCCCTTTTCCGTATTCGATTGCCATTTTTCCAGCCACGGCGAATGGTCAAGTCGGCCACCCGGTTGACCTCCAAAGGAAGGCGGGCGGACGACTAGTAGCCGCGCATCCCGTGGCGTCCACGCTCGCCGCACCCGCACGGGGACGGACGTCCTGTACCCGTTCGCGGCTCCGTGCCTGTCACGTTGTGGGTCAACCACGACTCCATGACAGAACATTAACGATTTCTCGCGAACGGCCCTGGAAGCCGTCGAAGGCTCTTTCTGGCCCGGTCACGGGCGCATCCGTTGGTGCCTTGGTGGGTTCGTCTCTATTGCTTCCGTCTCGATCGCATCAATCATGTTCCTGCACGGGAACGGAACTTGGAGACCACGGCTCTCCGCAACGCTGAAGGCTGGAAGCATCGTGCTGGACTGCTGGGCGTACAAAAGCCATGCCCAGGCGCGCACGTATAAAACCCACCCCAACTGAAAGCGCCACCATTCCATGCTAACAGCAACAACACAAATCATCAGTTACGTTCCGTCGCAGGAAAAAAAAAGCTTTCTTGTCCCACAGGGAAGGGAGACTGGGAGAGGAGTCGTCGTGATTAGTTGATCACCAGACGTCCAGACACCATGAGCTCTCGCATGGCCGGGGCAGCGCTTCTGCGCCACCTAGGTCCGCGCCTGTTCGCGGCCGAGCCGGCCGTGTCCGGGCTCACCGCGAGGGGCGTCATGCCCGCGGCCGCGAGGCTTCTCCCCGGGCGGATGGCCAGCACCGCCGCGGAGGCTGCCAGAGAGGATGCGGGTGCAAAACAGCACGGCGGCACCGGGAAGCGGGAGGAGGCAGCAGACGGGCAGAGCAAGAAGGCCATCGTCAGCTACTGGGGCATCGAGACGCCTAAGCTCGTCAAGGAGGACGGCACGGAGTGGAAGTGGCCCTGCTTCCGGGTGAGTACTGCGTGCACATTTTGCAATCCCAGTCTGTTTCATGGCGCTTGCGTTGCATGATTAGTCGCTCATGATCTCTAAACTGTGACTGACTGGACTGCTGCAGCCGTGGGACGCGTACACGTCGGACACGTCCATCGACGTGAAGAAGCACCACGCGCCGACGACGCTGCCGGACAAGGCGGCGTACCTGATCGTCAAGTCGCTGCGCGTGCCCATGGACCTCTTCTTCCAGCGCCGGCACGCCAGCCACGCGCTGATGCTGGAGACGGTGGCGGCCGTGCCGGGCATGGTGGGCGGCATGCTCCTCCACCTGCGCTCGCTCCGCCGCTTCGAGCACAGTGGCGGCTGGGTCCGCGCGCTGCTCGAGGAGGCCGAGAACGAGCGCATGCACCTCATGACGTTCCTCGAGGTCACGCAGCCGCGCTGGTGGGAGCGCGCGCTTGTGCTCGCCACGCAGGGCGTCTTCTTCAACGCCTACTTCGTCGGCTACCTTCTCTCTCCCAAGTTCGCGCACCGCGTCGTCGGCTACCTCGAGGAGGAGGCCGTGTACTCCTACACCGAGTACCTCAAGGACCTCGAGGCCGGCATCATCGAGAACACGCCGGCGCCCGCCATCGCCATCGACTACTGGCGCCTCCCCGCCGACGCCAAGCTCAAGGACGTCGTCACCGTCGTGCGCGCCGACGAGGCGCACCACCGCGACGTCAATCACTTCGCGTCGGTACGCACTCTTACACCTTACAACAAGATTCATTGTTGTGAGCAACTTTGAGCAGTTCGAGCTAATTCATTGGTTTATGTTGCCTGATACATTTCGCAGGACATCCATTACCAGGGGATGAAGCTTAGGGACACGCCCGCGCCGCTCGGTTATCACTAACAAGTCGACGTGGCCTGCTGCTCAATTCAGCATTTTTACACAATTATTACCCTCTCGTTAATCTTAATATGTTATGTTGTGCTAGCCAAAGTTGCTTAGCAGATCGATCAGGACTGGTTTGCTACTCGGAGTAGTTTGTATACTTTGTACATACTACTATTGAAGATATTTGAAATAACAATACAGAGTATTTCCTTCTATATTTTTTGAGGAATGTATTTCCTTCTACTTCAATACAAGTTCGGCAAAACTCCTGCCGGCCATTTCAAAAAACAATACAGGAGTATATGGTTGAATATTTAGTCACATTTCGGTAATATTTAATCTAGAAATAATACATGACATAAATCATGACACAAACGAGCATAATCGTCCTAGGAACAGTATATTCAGATATGCAAACGAATATGCTAATACCTGTTTCTATCAACAGATTCATAGCACACATAACCGAATATACCAAGTGAAGGTTTATGTTGTACCCTTGATCCGAGCTAGTGCTGGAGGCGGCTGGTGGGGTGTTATCACCATGCTCAGACATGGTGACCTACTTGAAGTAGTCAATCTAGGCTTGGCGCAGGAAGAGGTATGCAGTGTAGTCCCACGAGTAGTCGCCGGGAAGTAGACGAAGCAGTCGTTCATATGTGAGAAAGGCGGCAGCAGTTGGATCGAATCGCCGGGAACAGAGGAGCACGAGGAAAAGCAGTCGTGCCAATGCGGTCCCCAAAAACTTGATCGCTCGTCTACCCGTGGAGGTACACAAGCAGACGGAGTTCCGGAGGCCTGCTCACTTAGAGCCCTTGTGCGCGCAAGGGATTTGAGCCGGAGATGGCCAAGAGCAGCAACAAACACAAGAACCATTTTTTCCCCTATGGTATCGGGTTATTGCCACAACCCTTAATCCACGTTAGAGCATCAAGAGTCACCAAGACTTAGTTAAACTCTCATCCATTAATGAATACCCGTTTGTCACTCTAGCATGGTGGGTTTCAATACCATGTACACCTTTTGGAGCCTCCTCACAATAGTTCCATCGAGGAAGGTCACCAAGTTCTTCACCAGATCATCTAGGTGATGACAATCACCAGGAGTAACAACTCTTCAAGCTTCAACTCTCAAGAATGCCAACCAAGAACATGGTAGCACTCAAGACTAAAACTCAATTCTCACTTTTTGGTTTTGGTAGCTCTCTAATGTTTCACAATTCTCTTTAAGTGCTAGTAGCAATAGGGTGCAAGAGAAGCTCCAAATGAGCCAAGGGTAGCACTAATATAGAAAGTGTGGAGTCTATTGTATGCCTCAAGGTAGGCATGGTGGCCACGAGCATGGTGGTATGGAGGCTGCGTGGTGGTGTGGCTTGGTTGATGGGTGTGATGGTGGCTGCTGCAAGGAGTGGAGGGAACATCTCTTGGGCAGGGTGCGCATCCTCTTGTGCTATTCTCATCATGCTTGATGGTGGGTCTGGGTTTAGTCGACTTGGATCTTGTCGATGGTGGACATTCTAACTTGGCCACATTCATGCAACTCCATTGTCACATTTTCTATTGCTTCCATGTGTTGCGCTTGCTATACTGCCGGGTGCTATCTTGGCCGTTGGTGTGCGGCCATGTACAGGGGTAGGTTGGTTGAGGTTAGGGCGTAAGCCCATATAGGCGCTACTTTCTCCTTGGAGGTGTCTACCTCGTCGTATCCTGCCGATTTTCCTTGATGACGGCGTGCTTTTGGCGTTGTGACCTTGACCTTGGGGTGTCATCGTGGGAATGTGGCACCATCTTCAACGTCCTCTCTCGACCGGTGATAGCACCATTTGAGGTCTAAGGGAAGTTGGAGTTGCTGTGTCAACGAGCTTGGCAACAATGACTCGACGCCGTGCTTAGTTGTTGGCGATGGTTGACAAAGGGAACTTTTGTGGTATACTTTGTATTCTTTGGCCTTTTTGGACTTGGTGGTAGATAGGTGCTTTGACAAGGTCTTTGTCTCGTGACTAAGGTATGTTGTCACTTGAAGGGCTTTATCATCTATTGGTTCGCGTAGATAGTGTTGTAAGATGTAGTTGTGTAGTTGTAGGCAGTTTTTTTTAATGATTTTTAGACCTGATTTTTCCTATAAACAGAACCAATTATCTCCTTATTAATATACGCTAGAATCGAAGGTCCCAACATATATTACTAGGGGAGAATCATAGGTCCATATTTTTGTATGATGTTTAATATGTTTGTACATGCCTCGATCTTCGGTAACAACCTCCAATATTTTAGGCCTCATAGTTTATGCTTTCTAAGTTTGTCAAGAACTTAATACTATCAAGCATTTTATCATTTTCTTGCAACTAAAAACAATCCGATGAGTTAAGCTAGTTACACGCCTGTGTTGCTAAGTTCTGTGCATGCACTAGTGTTACTATAAATAATAAAAATATTTTCCCCGTAACGAAGCTGATTATATTAGACCTAGCAAGGACAGGTCAAATGATGGATACACATAGACATAGTGTACAAATACTACAACCTCTAACGGTATTTTATGAATCGTCTAACTCTTCCTAGGTCTTTCTCGAACCATGTGCAAGACATAGCCATGGAGGCTAGCTGTTGGAGGATGCACTTAGCCGCCGGTTAGTTGCACTAAAGAAAACATATATTTTTTGTGTGTGTATTGTATCATTGAAGGAGTTCTGAATTCTAAATTCTAATAATTGCCTGCTTGGTATATATCCTTAGCCGCCGATTAGGATGCACTTAGCCGCCGGTTAGTTGTACTAGAATCTGCGCGCTACCATAGATCCAGCAAGCTAGTAGGATAAATTTTCCCTAAGCAGGGCCCTGGAAGTTTCTGGCTTATGCTTTTGGTATCCTTTTAATCACGCTCTATTATGTTATTAGTCGTTAGATTAGCTCTATTTTGTTAGTGGTTATATTAGGGATCTAATAGATCGCATCTTCCCTTTTGTGTTATTGCTTTTCTTTACACCGTGAGAGACCGTTTGAGGAGAATATTATGCGTGTGATGGGTAGCTTGTACACTAGAGTTTTGGACTGCATCGTGTATATCTACCCTATAGTCCTGCTTCAAGAACCGTGCAAGCATGTATAGCTAGTACGGATACGTTTGTATCACGGTCTGTATAAATTTAGATACAACCTAATGCTGGTAAATGAACATGTGTGTTTTTAAAGATGTGGTTAAAATCCTGAGGGGCCACCGGACCGGTCTAAATTTGACTTCAATCTTATAAAGAAAAAAAAGGTTTGCTGTCCCTGTCAGACAAATTGAGATAATTCAACGAAATGAAGTAATTTAGTGTGTGTGTAAAGATCCGTCATTGTATTGATTTAAGCATTTGGCCCAAAGGTCACTGGTTTTAACTTGATTGAAATTTGTACACACGATTTATTGTTTTTAGCATGCGGCAGCAGATATAGTAGCCTAGGCCCGGTATCAAGGGATTCGCTGTCCAGCTGATATATTACTCCGGTAAAAAATCACTTAGTCTTTTTAAAAAAAAAATAATAAGGGTCTTTAAGATGATATTTTGTTTTGAGTTCTCTTTCACCCATTAATATTGGAACACAACACTTTTCCCTCTATTGCAAATGAAGGTTGCTTTTGCTTCTTTATTTTTGACTAAGTTTGTTAAAGATATATTAACACTACATCTACAGTAGCAAATAAAAACACTATTAAAATATATTTCTAGGTGTGTTTAATAAAAGTTATTTGATGTTGTAGACACCTATTGTGTTAGTATGTTTATTCTACATCGTGCATGTGCTATATACTCCATCCGTCCTAAATTAAGTCAACTTCTAGAATTTAATTTGATCAAATTTATAGAAAAGAGCATCAATATTAAATTGGTATCACTAAATACATGGAATATAATTTTCATAATATGCTTATGTGGTGCCATAGATGTTGTTATTTTTTGTTAAACCTAAAATGATTTGACTTAAGGTGATTCTAGGAATTAATTTATTTTCCAATAGAGGTAGTATTACTTAGTAGGTAGTATTACTTAGTAATATGTGTTTGTACTGGACTATTGGCAATTTCTTTTAGCAGAGGCCTCTAGGATTTATTGGCTAATGATTTTATACTGGCATGTTCTTAAACCTCTCCTTGTCCCATCTCTTACGTGCTAGTATACAATTGTGATTATTGTTTACTACTCTTACGTTTCAAAATATAAAATGATTTGGCTTTTTTAGATATATTATTTTTACTATATATTTAAACATAATCAACCTGTTCGTTTCGGCTTATACGATCGTAGATTATAAGCTGGAACAGTATTTTTCTCTCACGCCAAACCAGCCAGCAGTACTTCTGGCTTATAATCCACGATCGTTTCAGCCGAAACGAACAGGCTGAATGTATATGTAAATATATAGCAAAAGTTATGTGTCTTGAAAAATCAAAACGTCTTATAATTTAGAATGAAAGAAGTAGTACTATTTTTTATAAGGATTGTTTACTAGTGGGACTGTTGGCACGTTTTATTTAAACAATTGATGCGGTTGTTGGTACTTGGTACACACGGTAGTCACCGATGGCTGACTCGTTGCCACTTGAACAATCGCCTTGTTTAATTTCACCCTAATTTTTAAAAAGTTGTTATAGTATCTGTCACATCGAATGTTTGCGGCCCGTGTATGGAGCATTAAATGTAGACGAAAAGAAAAACTAATTGCACAGTTTGGTGGGAAATTGCGAGACGAACGTTTTGAGCCTAATTAGTCCATATTTGAACACTATTTGTCAAATAAAAACGAAGATGCTACAGTAGCCTCAAAATCCAAATTTCACGAACTAAACAAGGGCAATACTAGAATAGCATATGCCGCTACCACGATACTTGTCATGCTCCGTTTGGTCGGTCAAATCGTATTATGGCACAGAGCTTTGAGCTAGTAGATGCCTGATTGCCTGCCCTGGATCCAGCTCACCTCATGGCGAAACTACCTCGCGGCTGCGCCGCTGCGCTAGTCCATCTGTCCTAGAAGCTTCGCTGCCGGGCGCCCGGGCGCCGGCCGAGTCCAAGAGTCCCACTCACCAATAAAACCACTCCAAAATGGAAGGGCGTTTCGCTGTACCAGAACACCAAAAGCACCAAGCCATCTGATCTCCATTCCTTCGAAGAGATCACATCCACACACACACTTCCAGTCTCCGTTCCAGCTTCCAGCTCCTCCAAATATTTCGCGCCACTTGCCGGCTGTGACGGTTTAGTTCCACACCACCAGCCATGAGCTCCCGAATGGCCGGAGCAGCGCTCCCGCGCCACCTAGGCCCCCGCCTCTTCGCGGCCGAGCCGGTGACCGGGCTCGCGGCGAGGGGCGTCATGCCCGCGGCCGCGAGGATCCTCCCCGCACGGATGTCCAGCACGGCCGCCGCGGAGGCCGCCAAAGAAGCTGCCGCGCCAGAACAGCGCCAGAAGACCGTTTCCGCGGCGCCGGAGGGGCAGGACAAGAAGGCCGTCGTCAGCTACTGGGGCATCCAGCCGCCGAAGCTCGTGAAGGAGGACGGCACGGAGTGGAGGTGGTTCTGCTTCAGGGTGAGCACTTGATCTTCTCTACACATTTGCAACCGCGCAATTCCAATTTGTGATGGTCTCCGTTTGATTGTTTGCTCTTCGCTCATATGCATGATTCATGTACGTACGTGCAGCCATGGGACACGTACAGAGCTGACACGTCGATCGACATGAAGAAGCACCACGAGCCGAAGGCGCTGCCCGACAAGCTAGCCTACTGGCTGGTTAAGTCGCTGGTCGTGCCCAAGCAGCTCTTCTTCCAGCGCCGGCACGCCAGCCACGCGCTGCTGCTGGAGACGGTGGCGGCCGTGCCGGGCATGGTGGGCGGCATGCTCCTCCACCTGCGCTCGCTGCGCCGCTTCGAGCACGGCGGCGGTTGGATCCGCGCGCTGCTGGAGGAGGCCGAGAACGAGCGGATGCACCTCATGACGTTCCTGGAGGTGGCGCAGCCCAAGTGGTGGGAGCGCGCGCTCGTGCTCGCCGCGCAGGGCGTCTACTTCAACGCCTACTTCGTCGCCTACCTCGCCTCGCCCAAGTTCGCGCACCGCTTCGTCGGCTACCTCGAGGAAGAGGCCGTGCACTCCTACACGGAGTACCTCAAGGACCTCGAGGCCGGCATCATCGAGAACACCCCGGCGCCGGCCATCGCCATCGACTACTGGCGCCTCCCCGCCGACGCCAAGCTCAAGGACGTCGTCACCGTCGTTCGCGCCGACGAGGCGCACCACCGCGATGTCAACCACTTCGCGTCGGTACGACACTCTAGCTTGCAAGAATTCACCTGCTTTTTGTGAACAACTTTGACAGATCTCAACTAATTAATCGGTTTCTTTGGATTGCATTGCAGGACATTCATTACCAGGGGATGAAGCTGAAGGACACGCCTGCGCCTCTCGGGTACCACTAATTAGTCAACGTGGCCTGCTAGCTTAGCAATGTCGCCTGTATTACGGGTCGGTCATGACGTTAATTAACCTGCTACGTACCTTGTTTGTGATGTGATCATTTTGTCTGCATTATTTGTGTCACATGCTATAATCGAGTCTGATTTACGGGACGAAGCTGCGGGACACGCCTGCGCCTCTCGGGTACCACTAATTTAGTCAACGTGGCCCGCTAGTTTAGCAATGTCGCCTGTACTACGGGCCGGTCATGATGTTAATTAACCAACTGCCTTGCTTGTGATCAATTTGTCTGCATTATTTGTGTGTAAATAATATATATTTTGTGCCATATGCTGATCGAGCCTGATTTACTCGATCTCTAATAAATAATCGGTATTTTGTGTCACGTGAAGGATTCGGTTGGAATGAATTGAGGTGAAAAATAAATCTTTTTTTATCTTGATCTCTCCCATGTGAATTGGGGTGTATTAGATGAAATCTCAATCTCTCCTAACCTATACGGATTAGTGCGGGTTGAAGTACAACCAAACAAACACTGCTCCAAAAAATGAGAAAAAATTAGGTGGAGACTATCCCCACCAAGCATCCATGGGCACCCACTGGGCAACTGAAAGTGATAATGTATCACAACCGGCACTGATAGGTATCTCTGTTGGTTCATAGCTATGTATCACTTGATTTGCACAAATAATTACATTTTTTCATATGAAGTCGGATCAAAACAAACTTTATAGAAAAACTGTAGAGTTTAAAGAGATATCTAAAACTTCATAGTTGAAAACTTTTCAATTTGAGATGAGTTATACGTTTAAATATTTAATATAAGTTCTCGGACCAGATTTGGGATTGTTGATACAATCTTGAATGGAGCCAAAATCAACATCGAAATTGTAGTACTCGACGAGATCTACAACTTTACAATTAACAATCTTTTCATTTGAGATCTTTTAGAGTATCAAATATACCATGCAAGATTTGTAAATGTGAAGTTAGAATAATATTAGTTATATAGTTACAAGTATTGTGTAGCTGAGATGGTATGGATGTCTGAGAGCATGTTGAGGTTATTTAGAACCGATGATGATAATGTTTTTTTTAGTAGTGAAGCGTTATATATGCTCGTGTGGCTTGTCGTGATGTAAATATTATCGAAGGTATCTATTAAAATGGGCTGGGAAATACATCACCACCTCACTGCATTAGCATGGAGAACAAGACCGTCCAACAAAAATTCATGGGCTTTAACTTGGGATGATTTATTTCATCCACGATGACTCGATGAGGTGATTTCTCAAACTTATATCTTGTGCATTATAAGGATTTTAGATCCTATCTGCGTTCACTCTGAAGTACTATAATGTCATAAACAATCATTTAAAACTACATTACCTTGCTCTTTGAAGTCAGATCTAGGAAAGGATAGTCATGCTAATCTAAGGAGGATATTAATATTTAACCATTATAATCACTATTTTCTTCAAAAAAAAAAGTCTCAAATGCCAGAACGATATAGCCATCTTTAATTTGCACTAACATCTCCCACTAATCAAAATATTTTAATTTCCTTATCAAAGAATTGTATGTGTAGTGATATTTTTTATTATAAAAAAATAGTTTTTATAATTATACTGACAATATAGATATGTCAAAGCTTCAATTAACCAATAAATTTATTTAAAAGAACAATATGTTGGTAATTTAATATAGATTTGATGTGATATTTATTTATTTGTAATGAAAAGTGGCAATAGATACAAATTTAAGAGATTATGTAGATTATCTATAATAATGATAGATGAATAATTATATGCAAATTTAATATTACTTCTGATTATGTTTTATAATGTTATACGCGAGTAATTTAGATATACTTCTATAGATTTTTTTTTGTAGTTTTTCATAATCGAGATGTGACTAATTAACGTAATTATAGTATATCGAACTGGACGAGACAGATACAGGGACGGCGATATGAAGGGAGTTTGCGGCTGTTGTAAACTGTTCAGAAATTGGAATATGGATGTGACCTTTTTGGTGCGGTACACACAGTAGACGATCCTTTTTTTCGAGAATAGTGACATGTGTTTGTGTTTAAATTAGTAGACAATCTTTTTTATACATATAATGGTACCGTAACGGCAAACAAATTTGCGTGATGATTACATACAGTAGCATACGCATACTAAGCTGCTCTCGTCTCCTGCTACTGCTAGCGGCTTTAGTTCCCAAACTAAGGAGCCGGGCCGTTTAGCATAGGTAGAGCTCCTCGGAGCAGATTCTCTAGGAGAATCATTTCTCTTCAGTCAAACATCAAAATTGCATCAAGATTTTAGCGGAGAGTAGGTAATGATCATTTCTCTATTTACATTGAAAGTTGAGAGCTAAAAAAATCTGCTTCTCACTACTTCATATTCAATCTCCACTAAAATCATTCATGTGACAATTCTCACTTATTTATCCACCCTACTCCTCCACTAAAATTAACTGGAATATCATTCCATCAAAAAATCAAGAAGCTAAAAGCTAGTGTCGGTGCAGAAAGTGATCTAACACGTAAATATTTATAGTTTTGCGGTACGTTGTGATTGGATGTGGCCTAGCACTCAATGACACATGGTTTATACTGGTTCAGACAACGTGCCCTACGTCCAGTCTGAGTCGGTCAGAGACTTTATTCCTGAGCCCATGTGCTCAAAGTTTGTTGTGGGGTTACAAACGAGAGGGAGTAAGATGGGGTCGCAAGAGGTCCGGTCAGACTCTGGACCGAAAGGCCGAGAGAGACGGGAGCTCCTAGGTGCGCTAAGTATTTGAGCGTATGCTCTTGTTGGAGTTGTTCGTTGGGTGTTCGAATCGATCGAATAATTTGTCTATGTTCGAGTCGTCTAAGAGTGATCTGTCGGTCCTCCTCATGCGCATCTCCTTTTATAGATGAAGGGAACGACCTTACAAGCGAGAGAGGGAGAGTTTACATATGCTACTAAGTCTTGTTGCCCACGTCGTCGGGTACAAGATGATTGTAGGCGCCCATAATATTGTTAATGTCAGACGCATGTGGGAGGTTCCGTCTTCTTCTTCTGGTATGGCAGATGTCGGCGTCCACAACATTGTTAATGCCTAGAGGCATGTGGGAAGTTTTACCGTGTTCGCCTGGTATGAGAGTTGAGGGCGTCCACAACACTGTAGGGCAAACGTTGGCGCCCACAACATTGCTTGGGATCTGACATGCCTAGAAGGTGGCAGGGCACCCTCCTGACATGCCCTGTCGGTACTGTGTTGCAGGTGTACAGGGTACGGTCCTTGGTATTGCGGTTGACTTGAGCGCCCTGCCTTACTTGCTCCGCTTGTTTCCTGGGTCCTCACCGAGCGGGCGTCCCCGGTCGGTTGGTCCCAGTTGGCTCCGACTGCGCCAGTCGGAAAAGAGCTGTAAGAAGAGGTTCGGTGCACCCCCGGTCGGAGACATGGGTCGGAGTCGGAGGTGGCGTTGGCCAGGCCTTCCGGTTGGAGAGGTAGGTCGGAGTCGGAAGCGGCGTTGGCCAGGCCTTTCGGTCGGAGAGGCGGGCCGGAGTCGGAAGCGAGCGTTTGTCCTTTCTTTGGCCAGGCCTTCCAGTCGGAGATTGGATCGCCCTTCTGGCCTGTCGTTTAGGTTTTTGGGCCGGCCCAGGAGTTGCGCGTCGTTCGCAACATCGTCTGCTGGGCCGAGCTTTTGCTGGAAAGTAGGTCCATGAGGGACCCTGGGTTTATGAACCCGACAGGAGCCCCTAGCCCCTAGGCAATTTGGGTAGAATTGTCTGGGGGATTTTTGTCTTGACGGCAGGTGCGCGCGAGCGCACCCGCGGGTGTAGCCCCCGAGCCCCCAGGCGATTCAGGTAGAATTGTCTAGGGGGGTTTTCGTCTTGGCAGCAGGGGGATTCTTTGTTTCGACAGCGGGTGCGTGCGAGCGCACTCGCGGGTGTAGCCCTCGAGCACCCGGGCGATTCAGGCAGAATCGCCTGGGGGGTTTGTCATCGGGTGTGTGTGTGCACGCCTTGGTGGGCGTAGCCTCCTCTTTCCAGTTTCTGACCCATCGTTTCCAGGAGCGTGGTCCTAGGCATTTGGTCATGGCCAAGGGACTGGGCGAGACGGAGCTGTCATCCAGTCACGGATCTAGGGATCGGGCGAGTCAGAGTTGCCAAACAAGGTGTCTAACGCGCCGAGGGATCGGGCGAGTCAAAGTCGCGGATCCGGGCATCGGACTAGCCAAGGGATCGAGCGAGTCGAAGTCGGAGTCACGAATCCGGGCATCGGGCGCGTCGAGGGATCAGGCGAGTCGGAGTCGGAGTTGTGGATCCAGGCATCAGACGGGCCGAGGGATCGGGCGAGTCGGAGTCGTGGATCTAGGCGTCGGACGAGCCGAGGGATCGGGCGAGTCAGAGTCGCGGATCTAGGCGTCGGGCGTCGGGCGCAGCCGAGGCGTTGGGCGTCCTGAGACCCTAAGCCCTGTTGGGCTTGGCAGGGGTCAGTTGAGTTTCATGCGTTATCCCGTCTGCGGTTTCCGCAACCAGAGGGGCTGAGCTAACATCGCGTGCCTCGATGGCTCGAGTGACGCGCTCGGTGAGCTCACTAATGGGTACGTTCGAGTGGAATCCGGGTTCGTCGTTCATGATGGGGTCAACATAGCCCTCATGTGGCATTCCACTACTGCTTAACCTGTGTCCCGACAGATGCCCAGGTCATTTCGGAGACCGACCCAGGTGGCCCGCTGGTCTCCCCTCAATGGAGATTCTGTGGGCATGGCTCGAGGTTAGGATCAAACGAGAAGGTTGAGATGACCCTGTCTGCTTTAGAGTAGACTGGGGGAGGGCTGCTGGGGCTCATCTATGTTTTCTCCCCTGCTCTGTTTGACGCAAAGCGGCCTCAAGCCCTTCGTAGGACGGCCTTCGAACCCCGGTTGGTCATTGCTCATGTTGAATGAGGCAATTGTCGCTTCGTGACGCAACACGGAGCGTTGTGATGCATCAATTGC